TTTAGATACCCTGCGCATTTTGAATACGTAATGACAACAGCTGATATTACCTGCCACGTGCTTTTCTTCGCGTTACATTTATTATTTTCTCGCACATGTTTGGCCTGAGAAGTTGAAAAATACTTTGCAAAAATGCGGAAGTTGTGCAACAGAACATACTCAAATGTCAAATCATGAACAAAATGGAAATCTGTCTAATTATGGCAAGGTAATGCATTTAATTAAGGCTATATTATTTTACAGAGCATTTCACTGTGCGACAATGTCAGACAAGCATTTCTGCTTGATCCGTTCACTTAATTTCTTGATATTTTTATGGTCTACTGAATGAGCTGAGAAAAACTCGTCCAGGTAAACAAAATTGCTGCAGCTAACAGACTTTACGAGCGTCGAGTTTTTAAAGAGTAGACGAACCCTTACCAATTTATATATGTATCAAACATATATTATTTAAAGTCTCTAAAGAAATGTGCTGGCAAAGTTTGTGTTTGGGAGTTTCAGAGTTTGAAGTTTAGAAAATTTTCAGTGCTGTCTGACTGATAATAAAGAGGCGAGCAGCCTGCCAGTCTGGGACTCTGGCCAACAGTTTTGAAGCAGGCCACTGGCGCGCCCACAAAAACCCGAATTGAAATTTTTGTTTGCTTTGCGTTATTTACAAAACGCTGAAACTTTTGCTCGACCAGGAAAAGTTAATCGATGCCAGTTGGCGAACCAACTTGCGGCAAATTGACCGGAAAATGTTTACCAATTGCTAACGGAACTCTGGGCCAGCTCTAAGCTGAGATTTGGACAACTGACCAGAGCCCAGCAACTCCATACAGCAAATTAAACAGCTCCCAACTTGAGTTCAACAACAAACAAAAAATACTATACAGAAAATTTAAAAAAAAAAAAAAAGAAAATTGTGTTTTATAGCAAAAGTTCTTTTTTTCGACCCCGTTGACATATATTGATAAATTTTTATTTTTTGTCAAGAGCTAAAAGTTTGCCAGGCACTGGAAAAGTTTTGTGCATTAAGGGTTGCCACGGCACTGGGACTGATAGCGAAGGACTGCAGGAGTAATGAAATTTATGAAATTGTATTTTGGCAGTCAGTCGCAACAATGGAAATCGTTTCGAGTTGTTTGCCCCAATTTGGGTCAATGAAAGTTTCGCTTCAAAATCAATTGGATTTTCATAAAGTTTGCCACGCGCTAGCTGCTGCCCCGAAAAATTGCGTACTGTCAATTTAACTTTGCCACTTGGCAGAGCCCAAACACAAATATAGTTCCAGAAGAAGAGCAGAAACTGGCCAAAACCAAATGACAAGCATTGAACTACCAATAAAATTCGCTATAAATAAATTGCAAAATGAGTCAAGGCAGTTGACATTTGTGTGGGGTGGAGCATTGGTTTAGGCTTCGGGAATTGGGTATTGGTTGGCTGTCAAACAGACTGCAAAAGTTTCATAAGTGCAACAAAGGCAGCGGCTGCGGCAACAACAACGACCACTGACAGCTGCTACAAAAGATGGCGAACGACAAAAGGCCTGCGGTGGGCTGGTGGGTGGGTGGCACTGGTGGCACTTTACTGTGGTTTGGACTTGTCTCCACCGCTAACATGGTTAGACTGCACAACTGTCAGCCTGCACCAACCACCGCCCCGCTTGCCCCATCGCAGCATATTGTTGTGTTCGACATGGCCAAAACGAAAAAAAAAAAAAAATAAATAATAAAAATAAAAAAATAGTGCAAAATTGTAGCGCAGGAAGAATACGTAACCACTGCAGAAGGCCACCAACTATTTTAGATGCCAAAAGCGACGGCGAGAACAACGACGTTTGCAACGTTTGCAAAGTTTGCATGTTGCATGCCGTCAGTGAAAACAATGCCAAAGGCCATGTGTAAATATGCTTTGCAATTTTTATGCTTTTTTTATAGTATTCAAGGTGCCAGCATTCGCACAGTGTGAAAGTATTTGCGAAATAAAAATAGAAAACTATTTGGCATATATACGAATACAGCTTACATCAAATCGCACATGTTTCAAGCAAAGTTCGATTTTTAAAGTGACTTTAAATTGGCCCTATAGAGGTTAGCAGGTGCTCAGAAAAGGTTATAAGATGGGCATTTGTGAGGTATTATTAATGAAATTTCTATAATTTTATAAATTAATCGTCAAGCACACAAACAAAATATATTTAATATGCCCCAAAAGTGCTTTAATCGATTTTTTGACAGCGAGAAAAGATCGCTCTGAACACAATTTTGAGAACTTTTTACACGCTTTAGGCCCATTGTACTCTCATATTTTTAGGATTTTTTAATGGCAGCGCAGAAAAACAACAACTAATCGCTGGGCGAGTCAACTCAGAGGCAAAACTTTTGTTATTGTTGTTGTTGTTGTTTGCTGAACATTTTACCATGTTAGACAGTCAACGAAAAACAGATTTTTGTCACAGGCTAACGCCGCGGGGCCAAAGTTGCAAAATGTATGTAAAAGAAATCAACTTGCAGCTTGCAACAAAAGCCGCGTACTCCGTTAAATGTCACTGACCGAGAAATGAACGGCAAGAGAGTTGCAAAAATCTAAAGCAGCACTGAATAAAAAAAAGCAGGCGGTTTTATTGCCAGTGGCAGGATACGAACAACAACAACAACAACAAGGGCAGCAACAGCGGCGACAATAGCAGGACAACAGGACAACAATGAGACTACACAACAATAACAAGGCAAAGTTGCGAGGAGCTGTTGTCATTTCTAGCTGGTGATTTCTTTGGACACCAAGCAGCACTAACACGCCAAGTTGAGCCCCAGTCCGCAACCCCTTTTGTGTCTATATCCTGCTCATACATAACCAATGTCCATTGCACTTCATTTTGTTATTTTGTTATTCTTGTTGTTGTTGTTGTTGTTGTTGTTGTTGTTGTCGCCACTCGCCGGGGCAGTCAACGAGGCAACTTGATTGTTGGCCAGCATTTGCTTTGCTTTTGTTTTTTCTTTGCTGCTGCTCTTGGCCTTTTCACAAGCTTTATTTTCTTCTTTTTTTTTCTGCAGCATTTTGTGATGATTTGGCAAATTGAATTGCAACTCAATTTGCAGCTAACAACAAATGGCTAATTAGTTAGACTGGACCAATGAAAGGTATGCTGAAAAGTATGCTGTAAAAACTAAAAGCAAAATTTCTATACGGCAAAAATAGACCTAAATCCTTTTGATTTTACAATTAGCAGTTGAAATTGATGCTGGTACGAAGTGGAGTAGAAAAGAGTCAGGCTGTATATTGCTGAAAAGTGTTGCCTGAGCTGTGCGTAAAATGAATACCAATTATGCAAACGCATGTGCGCCATGATGCAGGCATCGATGGCAGGGAAAGCTTGAAGTATGCTACAAATGGTTTTCACAAAAGCCAACAGGCCTTAGGGACTCTACATGGCAACAATTGGCAAACGCTCAAGGTATTATTGACTTTCTAGTCAAGTTGGCAATTGGTAGGCGAAAGCATTGAACTAAAACGCAAGGTGTCCATGTAAAATTGGGAAAATTCTGAAAAGCTTACAGCCTGAGAGGGCTCTTTTATTTAAGTATACTCTTGCTTAGAAGTTTTTATGAGTTGACCGAGCTTTTCAAAATATTTCACTCTCTTTTCCTTAATGCAATCATTATAGTTAATATTAAGTCTGTTTATATTTAACTTCAAGTATACTTAACTCCAGATAGAAAAGATAAAAGATATTTTGACAAACGATTGCGATTTAACAGAAACCATAATTAGCTACAGAACAGTGGAGAGCACATCTAAACTTTTTTGCCGCCTCAGCTAACTTTTTCTATGCAAGACGTTGTTGTGCTTCGGCTTTCAAAATAAAAATAACAAAAAAAGCGACGGCATTTTTCTCATATCGGTTGCTTGGTTTTCAGCTCTTGTTCAAGTATCTGTGGCTGCTGAATGGGTGTGTGTGTATGTGTGTGTGTGTGTGTAGATAAATAGGAATGTATCTGTATCTGTTTACAGCTGTAGATACGCCATTCATGCTTCAATAAATAAGATGAATTGAAAAAGCAAAAAACAAAAAACAGCACAGAAGCCTCCAGAGAGATGGGTAAAGAGAAAGAGAAAGAAAAAGGATGCAGAGCAGCAGCAACTCAGCAGCAAGGATAACAGATTAGTTGAGCTGGCCAACGGACTAGTCCTGTCTTTCAATGGGAATCAAAACATTTTGTTAAAAGGAAACGCACACACACACACACACACAGCTGACAGTGAAGGCCTATTCACACAGATGCGCGCGTTTATCTGCGGAAACGGAGATACGTAGTACGTGCTGAGGATGTGGCCAGGACATGCCCACGAAGCGCTCTAGCTCTAAACTCACAACTTTATCTACACTTATGTGTGTATGTGAGTCTCTCTGTGTACGTGCGTGTGTGTGAGTGTGTACGCATTTGGCAGCCAACTTGTGTGTAATAAAATGTAATAAAATAAAACTCACATATTAGAAATGTTTTGCTAGCTTTTCTTTTTTCCTTTGGCCACTGAGAGACACATAAAAAGCACATAGAATATTTTGTAGTTGTTCTTGTTGTTGCAGTTGGCAGCCCATAAATAAAATGCCAGCTGTGCGTGCGGCTAGTTTTGGCTTAGTATTAGCAAATATTACGCATACGCACTGTGAAACCATCTTAACATAATGACAATCACCATCAGGGATAACTGTGATTTTTGGCGCAGGGCTCGCAAACGAGACTTTTATGACACATTTATAGGCCATTTAATGGCCAACAAATGACAGCAGCTGTCGTTGGCTTCATTTGAATGTCGGTTCACATGCCTGAGTTCTTTTAGATTTTAACATAATCATAGCGCTAAGAACATAATAATGGTATATTTATGTATTTGATATGTGAGTTATGTGCATTATAGCTAATATTTTATTCATTGACACTATACTATAATCGCTTTCGGGCAATATCTAAAGCAATAAATAAATTTTATGTTCATTTAATATAGATACCACATACCAAATATAGCTGCAGCTCCTTTCGTCTCTGCCTTCTTGAAGAGCTAAAAAAGAAAAAACACACAACTATTAATAATATATATGTATTTCGTTAAAATGCTACTTTAATTAGTCTGTAATATGATTTCATTTTCGAAATTTTAATGGCCCTTTACATGCCATCGAAATCTCAAACAAATAATTGACAGCTGCTGCCGCCGCCGCCGCAGGACCTATTAATTACATAAGTTTTTCATGGGAAAATTGAATTAATTTTTGACAAAGTGCTGCATATTGATTTTCTAATTGGCCGTGTCTCAAAGGCAAAAGGCCCATTAAAATAATTTTAATGTGCAAAATTACTGCTCCTTAATGTAATTTCAAGCAATTGACAAAGGCAGCCGAACGCAGGCAAATGCTGCTGGGAGAAGGTAACAACAAAATGGCACAGCACAAACTTGGCTGACCATTTAGTTAATGAGGGTCATTGCGGCAACGTGTTGGTCCTTCGCACCTCGCCACCAGATGCGAATGGAGCCGCGTCCGAGCTGTGTAGTGGCTGCCTGTAGGGGATAATGACGTTAATGCTATCGTTCCACTGCTGAGTGGGCGCAAGGGGCAGGGCAGTGAGAGGAGTGCTTCTTCCGGGCGACGCTGAAGCCACGTCAGCAGCAGCAGCGGAAACGGAAGCCAAACAAATATGGCCGACGCACGCTTGGCCAGACAAAATAAAACAATAAAACTTTTAAATGCATTTTTAGACGGCAAGTGGGCCGCTCTAATGCACAGTGGGTCGAAGCGCAATAAAAATGCCAGCAAGTTGACAAACAAAAACCGTTTGAGAATTATAAGCACACTTCAGGTGTTCAGAATTTGTGTTTATTGTAACCATTATGGGCAGGCAGGCGCTTAAATAACTTTTAATGCTTCACTGTGGGGTCATTATTGTTTTTATTTTTAATAAGTTTTAGTCCCCTAACCTGTGAATTAGTTTCCTATTCATTTCCATTTTATTTCAGCATCTTTATTTTAATCCTTAGACATAATTTTCTTTTCGCTTTTTACCACTGTGCCCGTTGGGGGCTGTATTTGGTTTTATTTTTCAGTTGATTCATCATCAACCTTTGCAACCCTCCTGGTAGCAAATTTCTCATTTACTGTTGAAAAATTAGTGACGGACTTTTTTGTGTGTTATTTACGCCAATTTATTTTTGGACTTCTGCTTTCAATGGAGGTGGTTGGGAGTTGTGTAACTTTAGCTGTGATAAGACTGATGTGGATAATGACGATGACGACGACGATGCTGATGATGATGATGGAAATGGAGATGATGATCAAAAGCGACGGCCAAAATAAAGCAAAGCCAAACAAACTGACAGCTGAAATGTCAGTTGAGAGCGACAAGGATATGGACCACAGGACAGTAAACAGTACATAATGGCAATTTAAATGGCATTTTTAGTTGGCTTTTACGGCGGAGCAAGCCCCTTATGGCCCCCAACCCACCCACTGCCCCAAGCCACAGACTGTATCTACGTTATAGAGTGACATGCGATATTTGATCAATAACTTGATTGGGAGAGCGGGGGTAAGAAGACTTCGACTTGCTGGGGGTTGGAAACATAATAAAGTGGATACGTTGCAATTCCCTGCTAGACATGTGTATGTGCGTATATTACTGTTGTGTGTTTGTGTGTGTGCATCCTGTTTTGTTCGTCTGGCTGGCTGGCTGCTGCTTTAGACGTGGCTTATTTGTGCTGCCTTTGCTTTGGCACCAAGCCGCATTCATTACGAAAGGCAAACAGGAAGGTTGGCAGCAGGACGTAAGTAAACGCCAGGGCCATCAATCTATCAGGTTGTTGGCTGACTTTGCCTCGCACACGGCTAACCGTTTTCGCACGTTTCATGTGCCAGATCAAAGGCAAAAACGTTCAACGTCTCGCACCCAGTCTGCCCTCACCAGACACTCGAGAGTTCGCCTGGGCAAAACAAAAGCTCTTGGCGCTGTCTCAAGCGTTATTTATTGTTAACGAAATAGCCGACGCCCTACGGGCCGTACAGGTCCTTGGCATAAGTCAAAGGCGGCGGCGGCTGCTGGCGTTGCCAGACCTGCCCAAAAACCAAGGCAGCCATAATCATTTTTATGGCATGGTCCAGGGGGGAGGAGAATGGTGCGGGGTTGGGCGAGCAATTAATCAAACGCTAAACACCAAAACACATTTTGTGGTTTTACAAGCATGTTAAATGTCCTTCTTGTTGCTGCTTCTGATAGCAAATTAATGCCGTTAGAGGCCTGTAATCTCATCCTGGACTGGCCTGGCCTGGTCTGGACAGCCCTGCCCTACTGTTCAGCTCTCACTTGTCTCGTTATTGTTTCAATTGTTTTGGCAGCCTGCTCGTTGACAACAAAACTAAATTAACACGCACACAGCCAATCGCTGTGCCATCTCTCTTTCTACCTCTCCCACTCTAACATTTACTATCTGGCTCATTCTTTCCACTGACAAGGCAACAGGATGCCGGCCAACGTGCGTGTGAGTGTGTGTGTGTGTGAGCCAATTGAAAGCAGTCAAAGAGCAGCAGCAGGATTACAATCTATCAGCTGCAGCCTAGCCAGCGCACAAATTTGGCTCGTCCAGTGCCTCGTCCCGCCTGGCTGCCATGTTGCCGTGTGCCCATGTCCATATCCTGTGCGGCCTTTGGCTGCAGTCGGCTCAGCCTCTCCTGTCGCATTGCAGGCTCGGGTTCAAACGGTTTGTGCGTTAAATCGCTTTTTATTGTTGTACATTTTTGGACTGTGTTTCCATGTGTTTGTGCGTGTTTTCCAATGATTGCCATAGGTTTTGTGTTTTTCTCATTTGCATAGCAAAATATATATTCGTGTGTGAGCCTGTGTATGTGTGTGTCAGTGTGCGTCAGTGCGTGTGGGTCTATGCCTGGCGGGCAACTCTATTACACTTAAAATGCGTTTTAAAAAGGGAACGAATCCAATTGGGATTTTTGAGTTTGAGTGTGTGTGTGTGTGGGATTACATGAAACAGATAATAGCGGTAGATGTGGGCGTGGCACAGCCAGTGAGTCTTCCGGGAATTGCGTAATTGAGGAACACGTATGTAGAATGATTGGGATCTCTATGCCCTTTCAAATGTGAATACAATTAACAACAAAATGCTAAAAGGTGCGACAGCAAAATCCCATAAAAATCAAACGAAAAAGGGCTCGATAAATGTTTGTGAAAGTTTGGGGAAATAAATCACAAATAAAGAGAACCTATATACAGGATTGAGATTAGAGTGAAAGACCATTTGAATAGCAAATTAAATTAATTGAATTCAATACGGAAAATTGGTAATAAATATATTCAAAGTGGAATTTGAATGATTTGTTGTGTTCTATCAATAATGGTATCGATATCAAGGCATAAAAAAATGTTGCGCGGGTTGAGTGGGATTCAAACTGAATTGCACTTGGATTAATAAGCGCTTCATCTAATATTATGAAAAGCACATAATAAATACACCTTTTACATCATTTTTAGGACTATATTCAATTTCTAAGCAAGAAAACTTGAGAAATATTGTAAATTCGTGTTCTGCTTGGATTGTCTAACAGTTGTCCAATCAGTTTGAAAGCCTACTAAGCTAAAAATCTAATACGATCCCACAACTAATGTGAGTTTAAATAGCTAGTGTGGCGTTGTGTCCATTTTCCCACTGTTTTTCAACGTCTATCAAACACGTATACAATTAAAATATATCTATCGTTATGCTGCATGCAGCCATCCATCATTTCGGTATGTTGCCTTCATTTCCTAACGATATCCGACTGTTTGGTGCGTCCAGCAGATAATGCGATATCTTTTTTTGCGCATATCCGCTGCACAGTCAGCTTTCCAGTCCATTGATGGCCAACCAGCCCGGGCGCTGCGTTTTACAAATTGACTTTATGGCGTACATACACCCGCGGATAGCCCTCTAGCCCTGCGCGTCGCTCGTCCGCGTGGGCGACAGCTTAACGCAAAGTTTTCAGCAACTAAAATTGCGACACATAAATGAACAGTAAAATGCATTGGCGGGCAGGGGGAAGGAGTCGAAGGGGGGCCGTTTGGCTGTCTGCACGTCACGCACACTTTATCCTTCATCCTGCGCACACGTCGCGAACGGAACATTTCATTTGGGTTGTGTCAAAGGCAAAAAAAAAAAAAAAAAAAAAAAAAAAGAAGAAGGCATACCGGACACGGACACAACCGACAACTAAATGCGTGAAATGTCAGCGGGCTTTGACACGCCCACAGTCCAGCCCCTCACCCTGGGACCGGCTGCTCCCCACTTGGCACACTTTGTGCGTTGGGTGCATTGGCTTTTGCAGTGGGCCAGGTGCAAATCGAGCAAGTAGCAACAACAACAACTGGCATTCACCTTATTGAAGTGCAATTTGATTTGCCAGCCCGCAGCCCCTCCACCCGTCTGACTCTCCCAACATCTCTTTTATAATGTTGTAATTGAACGCGAAGCAAATAAAAACTCTTGTCAGCGTTTTTTCTGGTCATTCGTTAATTGATTTTTATGCGCACAGTTTGGCAAGCGCTGCAGTGCTGCCAAAACTGTGCACTAATTTATAGCCAAGCCACATAAAGAGCATAAATAAATAAATTTGCAGGAACCCGCACAAATTCATAAACATAATGCCAGCGGGCGGCCAAGGAGAGCGGAGCTGCTGCTCTTAATGCTGATGTAGGGGATTTGGGGCGCTTAAGCGCCGGAACAAAGCAATCAGCAGCCCCCATGCGTGGCGTCTCCGTTTACTGTGTGCGGCGGCAACAGCGACAAACAACGCATAAAATATAAAATATATAAAAAAAAAAACATACCAAAAATTGTAAAAAAAAATATATGTGTATGTATTTATGCAAAAAGCACAATAGCAGCAGCAGCAGCAACAGCTGAGGCAAAACTTTGGCCACGCCCCAAACACACAGACACACATACACACGCACACACATAAACAAAACAGCGGCTTAGCTGTGAACATTTATTTTATTTTTATGCCATTTCGTTTTGTTGCT